AACAATTCGAGTAGAGATGAAAACCAAGGAAATGCGGTTGGCGGAAGCGCGTACTACGTGTCACGCGCGGTCGCACCATCGTCACGATTTTTCGAATGCTCTGTCCGTCCTGGACATGAACGGAGGCAAGGAAGGAAGCAGCTCGGAATAAGACGGAAGGAACGCGGTGTGGCACACGATGAAAATTCGAAGTTCGCGCTAAGCAGTAGCGACGTACGTTTTACTATATATGTAGCTGCTTCATGCGTGATCGTGAAGCTTTCATAGAAAGTTGACTCGATGTTCAACTTACAGATGTTGTTTCAGGATGTCTGAAATGTTAAAAGTCTGCGCCCTCGATCTAGAAATCTGCGTTACGCATTTAATTCATATAAATCAGAACAAGGTTGTCAGGTCAATTGCTCCGGTAGCAGCGCAAAAGCAGCTTTGCAGGTGAGATGGTCATACTCAGTAAGAAGTTTCAAACCAAATGGCAGATGCTATTTCAGACAAGCTATCAAGCTATTTGCCCACTATGGTATCTTAGCCTCTCCAGAAAGGGATCGTGACTCCTTCGTGATAGTTGCACACGCACTATCTTTGAAGGCAGATTTTCTCGACTGGCTTTGCAAAGAAAATTTGGAGGTAAGAAAGTAATTTGTACTGCATTTTCAAAGTTCCTAACCACTTTCTCGCTCATCGAGATACAAAATATGTATCGTGCTGATACACAAACGATCGAGAAGTGCCTTCATTACACCGTGGCTGTATGGTTTACATCTCACTGCTTCTACTCTGTTGGTAAAGCTCTTGTTAAAGGCCCACTTTTTCTTGAAACTGATATGGAGACGGCTAAAGTAGGTGAGTTTGTCTTTCCTATTTGTGACTTTGTGGTTTTTCCCCGTGGTTCTTCTACAACTCATGACAGATTCCAGACTATAGCATCCACTGCACTTCTTCTGGTGAAGTGTTCATCAGAGCAAGTGCTGAGACAGTTATCTTGCCATCCGTGGGAAGCCAGCAGTTAT